GGCACTGACCCGGTGTGGGGAACTTGGGGGCCTCAGCGAAGCCGCCGTACTCCTCATCATAGCCCTCATCCAGCTGCTGGAAGCAGCGGCTGTTCATGGTGGCAGCGGAGGGTGGCAGCTGGCGGTCACCCATGCTGATCTCCGACCGGGCCAGCAGGGCTGTGGTGACACGCTGGCTGTTTTCTAGCAGGGTATTCTTGTTCTGTTTCCACTGTGGGAGGCAGCAGCAGACCTGGAGGTCAGCATGGGCTGGGGGCCCTTGTGCCCTCGCCCTTGTTCCCCTCACTCCCTAACGCACACCCACCTGCTCCCGTATTCTCTGCAACACGGTGTGGAAGCCAACTCGGGTCAAGCCATCCTCAGGGGGGAAATAGGTGCCCCCCACAAAGGGCTGGAGGTTGGGAGTCAACCACACGTTCATGGGCCAGCCCCCACCACTGCTGGTGGCCTGGCGGAGAGAGGGCGAGGGTGAGGGGAGCAGCCCCCTGTGCACCGGCAACCCCTCCTCCCCTCACGGAAGACCACTTACCTGCACGAAGGTCATATACACCTTGTCCACGTCTGGCCGCTCCTCCCGGTCCACCTTCACGCTGACAAAGTCCTCATTGAGCAGGCGGCCAATCTCCTCATTCTGGAAGGACTCCTCCTCCATCATGTGGCACCAGTGGCAGGTGGAGTACCCCACTGGAATGGGGTCACCGGGGAAACAGGGAGGCCCAGTGACTGGTTGGAGGGGCCCCAGCTGGATTGGACTGGCCCAGATCTCGAGTTTGCTGGGAGGCCCCCAGGCCCAGAGGACGCTTCCTCTATTCATCACCACTCCCCTCCCCCAATCCCCGGGAAGGTGGGTGCCTTACCTGAAAGGAAAATTGGCTTGTTTTCTTTCCTGGCCTTGTCAAAGGCTTCCTGTCCCCAAGGGTACCTAGGCCCAGCAGGGGGGCATCACTCACTGGCCCAGGGGTTCGGAGGGGCTGAGAGGCAGCTGTGGGGGTGGATGTGGGGGGGGAGCTGGGGGAGTGGCAGGCCTCAGGAGTGGTGCTCACCAGTCCACAGGATTGTAGGCATGTTGCTGGAGGTACGGTGACTTCTCATTGATCAGGCGGTTGGGGACCTTCTGGGGTGTGGCCTGGGAGCAGTTGGTCCGGCTTCCCTTCCCTCCCGCAGGCATGGGCACTGAACCACTGACGCTCACACTTCGGTCCTTGTCCCTGGAGGAGCTACCCCTGGCGTGGACAGGTGGGTCAGGTGAGGGGTCTCCACCCACCTCCCCCGAGGCGCACCCCACCCCACCTTGTCCTCCGGTACCCCTCCCGGAACCCCCTGCTCACAGCCCAACCCACCTTTCTGAACCACGGGGGAGACCGTGGCCTTTGTGCTCCCCCTTGTGTTTTTGGGGGGGTGAAGGAAGGTGGCTCATTGGGGCCTGCTTGCCAGGTTAGTCTCCCCCAACCTCCTGGACCCGGTGTGGGACGGATGATGACTGTGAGGTCAGGGCGAGTCACAATGGGCAGAATGTCCTTTAGGTTCCATTCTCTCCCCCTGCCCTGGCCCCTCCCCAGGGTGGTTGCTCAGAGGTGTCTCTGGGACGCCTGCGGGTGTGATCTGGGCAGGAAGGCTGCCCACTGCTGGTGGCTGACAGGGCAAGATGAGTTGGGTCTGGGACCCCACCAGATGAGGGGCAACCAGAGGAAAAGCAACACAGGGAACTCACTCCCTCAACATCCACCCTGGGGGCACTTCTGTGGGGCCAGGTCCTGTGCCACACCCCCAGGACTCCCAGGGAATAAGAAACAGGCCCTGATCTCAGGGGGCTCAGCCTTGGAGGGTGCTGCTGCCAGGAAAACCTAAATAATGACAGGCTCATGCAGCAATAACGACTGTGAAAGGCCAGCCCCGGCTGCTTTTGGACAAGGACCCTTGGCCCAGCATTTGGGGTTCAAGGAAGGCTTCCTGGAGGTGGTGTCAGAACAGTGTCCCAGGAGAGCTGCTCTGCGGCTGGAGGGCAGGGAAGGAGGGAGTTACTGCCTGGGCCGGGTCGCAGCAGCAGGCTTGGGGCGGGCGGGCGGGCGGGGGGGGGGGGATGCAGGCAGGTATGAGAAGGCAGCCAGGCAGCCAGTGGGGACCAACGCCAGGACGACCGGCCCCAGGGCCCAGCGGGCGGCCGCAGCGACCCCACTCGCCCGCCCGTACCTGCGGCTTGCAGCGAGGCCCGGCCGGGCGCCAGGCAGCAAGAGGCCGCGGCACTGCAAGGCCTGCGCGCCCAGCATGGCTGCTGGGGCCCTGGGTCGGGACGCCGCGGCCAAGGATGGAGGGCGGCAGGCTGCGAGGGGCGGGCCCGGGCACCCACCCAGCCGCGGGCGGGTCTTCGCCGCGACTCCGGGCCGCGTGGCTGGTCTCCGAGCGCCGCCCGCTGGCCGAGCGCGGGATTGCAGACCAGACCGCCCGGTCTGGGGAGGACCCGGATCTGTGCACAAAATTGGGCGGACTCCGCTGGACCTAAACCAGCTGCCTGCGGAGAACGACCCTCATGAGGAGCACATGGAGAGCTGTGAGGATGCCAGGGCCGTGGAAGGCCAGAGTCTCGGCTCGTTTGGTCCAACCTTTGCCCATTTTACAAATGAAAAATGAGGCATGAGCAGAACTCGTGGTTTGTGCAGGCCCGCCCAGCCAGCGAGCTTTGATTTTGCTCCGCCCCCCCCACCCCCCCATCTCAAAGTCCAGCTTAAGTCCCACCCACTCCAGGAAGCCTTCCCTGAATAATAATGATGAGCCAACTTTAGGTCCTATCGTGTGTTTTACACACTTGCCTCGCTTGCTACATTCAGCCAATATTTATTGAGTGCCCACTGCCTGCCAGACACTCTGCTAGGTACACTGGTGAGCAGAGAGGCCAGGCTCCTGCCCTTGTGCTGTTCACAATCCGATGAGGGAGGCAGAACCTAATCCGACAGCAATACAAACGAATGTACAACCAGCCACTGTGAGAAGTGCCATGCCTGAGGATGACAAGGAATCTGGTCTGGCGGGAGAGGCAAGGGGGGGAGGCTTCCCTGAGGAAATCACATTTGTGTAGCAGCCATGGAAGAACAAGATGGAATCTGGAGAGGCGTGGGGGGAGTGCTGGGGAAGCAAGAGGAATAGATGTGCAAAGGCCCTGTGACATAGCAGTGAGTCAGGGCTGGGAAACTGCAGAGGCCAGGATGGCTGCGGGGCAGAGCACAAAGGGGAGAGAGGTGGTTAGATGAGGACGTGAGGTTGGGGAGGAGGGCAGGGGCCAGGTCTGTGAGAAGTTCTGGTTATGGATGAGAGCAGAAGATGGTGGAGGGCTTTAGTCAGGGGACTGCCCCTGCATTTTGGAAAGCTCCCTCTGGCTTCCTGGTGGAGAATGGACTGGAAAGGGGCAAGAGCAGAGCAGGAGTGGTTAGGGGGCAAGAGGTGGAGGTGGAGATAGAAGGGGAGGGACCTGAGGTCTGTAGAGCAGGAAATATCGTCAGGATTGTCAGTGAGGGAGAGGGAGGTGTCGAGTGATTCGCAGAGCGGGCTTGTGCTGGATGGTGGGGCCATTTGCTGGGGAGGGGGCACAGGGAGAGGCTCAGGTCAGGGGTCCATGAGGTCATTTTTGGACGTGTTGGTTTGAGGTGCCTTTGAGACCTACATGTGGAGATGCCAAGGCTCTGGAATGCAGAGGAGAGGTTGGTGGGAGAGAGGAATCGGGGTATTCAGTGTGGAGACAGTGCAGGCATGGGGGGGATCATCCAGGGAGCCTGCAGTGAGAGGAGAGAAGACGCCACAGGCGCGGGCTCCGGGAACTCAGGAAGGCACCCATGAAAGACGGAGAGGGACCGGCCAGAGGGTCAAGGGAAAACCAGGAGAGGGTGGTGCCGTAGAGGCAAAGGGACAGAGAGTTGCAAGGAGGGAGGGTCCGCATGGTCAGACTCCAGGGAAGTCAACTGGGATGAGACAGAAAAAGTCCACTGGCTTCAGCCACATGGAGGCCGTTGGCGCGCTTGGTGGATGGTGTTCCGGTGGGGTGAGGAGACAGCAGAAGCTGACTGGAGTGGGTTGGAGTGGGTTGAAGAGGGAGGGGAAAGAAGGGCAACATAGAGAAAAAGGATGGGTGCTTGATGAGAGGGGAATGATGGAAAGACACTTTCAATGGATAAGGCTAATTATGACAAATATCAAGGGGAAGGATTCGGTTGAGAGTAGGCCACTGACCATATGGAGGAGAGAAGAGATCTCAGAAGGTGGGGGTGGGGAGGTAATGGAAGGGTTGGCTGGCCAGGGGGTCTGGTGGGTGCTCCCTGGAAGGAATAAGGTTAAGATCGGAAAACAGGGAGCCTGCCTTGAATGTGGAAGAATTTGGGGTGATGACAAGACCCAAAGTGTGACCATTGGCAAGGGTAGATGAGAGGTCAAGGGGCAGCAAGGTCATCCTCTTGGATAATGGAGTCATGCAAGATTGAGCAAGATCTGGGTGAGAAGAAGACTGTGAGGCAAGATGGAAGCATGGCGAGAATGAGGTGGAGCGCAGCCCCAGGCGGGGAGGAGGCAGGACAGCCCAGTGGCTCCAGCCTCCAAAAGGAAGGGGGAAGGATCTTACAGGAGAAGATGGTCCAGAAGCAGCTGGGGAGCAAAGCTACCAAGCTCGTCTTTGTGGGAATCAAAACCACACCCCTTGAGAGTCCTCAGGGAAGCAATGTCCACAGGGAAAGCCAGTTTAGAAGAGGAGGGCCCAGACAGGGGAGGGACAAGGGACGGGTCAGTGACCAAGGATGGAGACCTCCTGGGTTTGTGCGCAGAAGACATGGGGCTGGACTCTGGGGACTGCCTGGCAGAGCCAGGAATGAGGGGTATGGCAGGTGCATTCCTCATGGTTAGTCTCTGGGGAGGGTGGACCCTGGGCCCAGTGGACACTGGGTGGGGAGGAGCCACACAGCAACCTCATAAGGAAGGAACTCCTGTTCCCATTTGACACATAAGGAAACGGAGGCACAGACTCATAGGTTAAGTAATTTACTCAAGGTCAGCGAGCATAACCACTTATTACTAAGTGATTATTACTAACTGCAAACCTGGGAGCAGAGTTTTGAGCCCTGTCGATCTGACTCCTAAGTGCTCTTGTCCATCCTGACTGGAACAGCCAAGGTGGGACTCCCTCCCTCCAGAGAAAAGAAAAGCAGCTCCTTTCCCCACCCCCATCTTAGGAAGGAGAGCGGCATTGCATCCTCCCAGCCAACTTTGGTGTTTCTGACCACTGGAAGGCCATTTCCCCCCAGCGCCCTGAAAAGGGGTGGGGGCTGGCAGCAGGCTGCCTGCAAGGCCAGACCCTGAGCATTGAGGACATATCAGTGTCCAGTGGTCCAGTGGCCGGAAAGCATTGAGTAGAAAAGGAATAGGGGTGACTATGGTGGCCCACAGGATGAAGTACCAGGCCCTGCCCCTCCCCTTGGTTTCCCAGAGTCCACATAAACCCCCAGGTGGGGTCAGGCTCCCTCTTCATGGCTAAGATTGGGTTTCTTCCCAGCCCTGGTGAAGGAGAAGAGAGAGGTCGAGCCAGATTTGAGGTGACTCAGTAAAACAAAGGAGCGTGGGGGCTCCTGGACCTGACTTGCCTGCCCCACTGAGTTCTGAGCTCCTGGAGGCTGTGGGCTTAGCAATTCTTGGATCCCTCCAAGGCAAGCCCAGGAATTCATCCACAGCAGCCAGTCAGTATTTGCTAATTAAATCTGGGGCCCAGCCCGGGAGCTCGGGGCTGTGGAGCCAGACTGTCTGACTCTGAATCCCAGCCCCACACTGTGCTAACTTTGTGACTTCGAGCATGCCCTGCTTAACCTCTCCAAACCTCAGTTTCCTCACCTATAAAATGGGAGCAGGGCCGAGGCTTTGCGCTTGGTTTAATGCTCTGGTGCCCCCATTTTGAAATTCTTAACGCAAATTTAACAAGGGCCCCTGCATTTTCATTATGCACTGGACCCCACAAATTCTGTAGCCAGTCTTGAATGGGAGTAATATTATTATCTACCTCAGAGGGTTGTTGCAAGGATTAAATGAAATAATGTTCCTAAAGTGCTTAGCACGTGACGAGTGTGCAATAAATGGGAACAACCGCCCACTGTTCCTTGCTATTGTATCATCTCCAGGGCCCTGTGTGATGAATGAAATGATCGAATGAGTAAGAGCCTGGGGAGCATCGGGAAGCGAAAGCGCCAGGCAGAGGGGGCTGTACGGAAAGTGGGAGCATTTGGTGTGCCCCGCACTATGAAGCAGTTGTTTCCACAGCAGCAGGTGACTCGCGTTGGGGTCCAGACCCGGCCGCCACGCCCCGGGGCCACGCAAAAAGTCCTCCTGGTGAGAGCTGAGGACGTGGTTCCAGTCTTTATTACGGGGCGTGGTCTCGGTCCCTGGGAGGTCGTCCGTCTCTAGCTCCTGGAGCGGCAAAGGTCTGCGGAGGCCCGGAGCAGCATCTTTGCAGGCCTCGGGGCGGGAGCGGGATCTCTGCCGGTCGGAGCTCCGGGTACCAGTCCTGGAGTGGCAGCCCCGCCCCGCGCCGGTCCGCGCCGTGGGGGCGGGGCTCGCGCGCATGCGCCGGCCGGCCGGGGCGGAGGCGCTCAGAGGAAGGGGTTGGTGCTGGCCTGCGGGGGCGGGTGGAGTGGCCCCGCCGACCCCGACGTGGGCAGCAGCGGCTGCTGCAGGCTCGCGGGCGGTGGCGTGAAGGCGCCGGCCTGCGGGAAGACGCTGACCGAGGCGGGGAGGGTCACGCCGGCTGGCACGCTGCTGAGCGGGAGGGGCAGGGAGGCGCTGTAGGTCATGGAGCCCGAGGGCGCCCCGACTGGCCCGCCCGACGCCAGGCCCAGCGCCGGCGACCCGCTGCGCATCTGGTTCAGGGTCGGCCTGCCCTGCTCGCCCCCGCCGAACGGGTTGGTGGGGGACGGAGCGCTGAGTCCTGCGGAACGAGAGGAGGGGGAGAAGGTGGTTGGAGCGGGCCGGGAGGCAAAGCCTTAAAATGAGAGGGGGTCAAGATCTTGGGTCTTAGAAATAGGGAAAAGAGTAAGTTTCAAGGGCAGGGGCCGGGCTTTAAAAGGAGGGTTGGAAAGAGAGCAGGGGCCTGCAATGTTGAGACCTGGCAGAGACGAGGGAGTGTCCTACCTGTCAGGAAGGGGTTCCGGGTCTTTGCAGCCTGGGGCACCTTGACTAATGAGTCTAGGTTGACCAGAGAAGAGGCTGAGGGGCCCAGGAAAGACTCAGGAGTCCGGCAAGCTCGGGCCTCCTTACTGGGCTGGGCTAGCGCTTCCTCCAGTGCACCCAGGTCAAAGGCATCTGGCTCCTTTGTGCCATTTTGCTTGGAACTGGGGATGGGGTCTCCAAACAGGTCCAGCTCTGGAACACAAATGATAGAGCTCATTGGTAGAGAGGGATTGGTCACTGTGGGAGGAAGAGGGCCGAGAGGCCAGTTCCGGGTGGGCCCCCATTCCCCAGAGCTGCATCATCCCCTGCCTCCTGCTTACCCACAGGGCTGCTGGGCTTCCCAGAGGGCAGGGCCTGGGCATGCTCTAGCCCTTCCTTGGTCTCTGTGGATTCTGGAGGTTTGGCAAATGGGTCAAAGGTCGAGGTACCACCAAGAGCTAGTGAAGGAGGAAGAGGCAGATGAGATGGCCTGGCGAAAAGGCTAGGCACTGGACTGACCCCTTTCCATTCAAGCAGCCCTGTTAACACAGACGGGATCTGCTGTCTAGGGGGAGTCAGCAGTTCTCCAGCCCTTTACCCACACCCTCTGGCCCCCCACTTACCAGGTTTGTTGGAGGTCTCCACCGAAGGCCCCCAAGGGTCAGCGCCAGTGTTGGGAAGTTTGTGGTGGGGGGACTTCTGTGCCCAGGGGTCTGTGCTGGGCAGTCCAGCAGGCAGCACTGGGGTCCGGCCCCAGGGTTCAGAGGAGGAGAGCACAGGGGGCAAGTCCCAGGGCTGGCTTCGGGACAGGGCACTTCCCGAGGGGATGGGAGACCAGGGGTCTGCAGAAGGCCCCCAGGAGGAGCCACTGGGTTCTGTGCTTGGCCTGAGACCTGAAAAGGGAACAGTACAGACGTGACCCCAGGCCCACGCTTACCCCCAGTCCAGGGCCCTTCCCAGTTACCCAGACCAAGTTGGGAGGCCAAGGGACCCATTTCACAGATGGGTCTCACTCAGGATCACCCAACAAGCTGGATCCCATTTTCGGCAATTTATCCCAGGAGCCTGGACCCCCAGGCATGGGCAGCTCAGACCACCTTCCCAGTCAGGGACTGGCCGGGGCAACAAGTGAACATCTCTGAGTTTCCCATGAGCTGGGCTCTTCAGATGTGCTCCCCCATCCCTCACTATGACTCCATGTCACAGTGGAAGCTGAGGCTCAGGGAGGTGAGTGACTTGCCCAATGGTCCTCAGCTTTGGGGAGGGGGGTGCCAGCAAGTGGCTGGGAAGGAAGGGGCTCTCTGGGGCTAGCCTGGGATCCTCTTGCAGCCCTGCAAGCCCACCTGGGATGTCCCATGGGTCAGCAGAGCAGTGTGTGGAGGGCGGGACCGGGGCGGCTGTGAAGATGTCCGCCAAGTCCAGGATGGAGGACTGTAGAAGGGAGAGGCAACCATGGCTCAGAAGTGGGTGGGGGCCCAGAGGAAGGGCGGGCCCTGACCTGTCATCCTAATGTCAGCTCATTCTCTGCTTTATTCATTCCACAAACATCTACTAATGATCCCTCACCTCTTTACAGTGCTTTCCAGTTTATAAGATATTTCCTCATCCATTTAGTGCCTGATTTTCATAACAACCCTGTGCAGTAGGTTGGGCAGGTAGTGGTGTGCCCATTTTACAGATGCACCAACTGAGGTCCAGGCAGAGGGGACCATTTGCCTGAAGTCACACAGCCAGGGAGAGGCAAAGCTGGGACGGAACCCAGGCCTGCCTGACCCCTTCCTCAGTTGTCCAGCTCCTTAGACCATCGGTGGTAAAAGACAAATTTTATGACAAAGCTACCTTCATAAGTCAGTGTCCCAAGAGAAATTGGCCACAGCAAACATGGGCAGGAAGGAGACAGAGACACCCCAGGTGTAGCATGGACAGCTTCGGAGGATGGTCTTGCTCCCAATAGCTAACCAATCCCTCCTCTTGGAAAGTATGTGTATGAGCCCAAGATGTTTTCAGCACCATATGCCTGAGTCTAGATCCACAGTATCACATAATCCTAGAATGTCAGATCTGGAACTGTCCAACAAGCCCACTGTACAGAGAAGGGAACTGGGGCCAAGACAGTGACATGCCCTGAGTCATAAAGTAAGTGGCAGCAAATCCAGAACCCAAATCTGGGGGTCTCAGATCAAGATTCTTTGCATCCCACTTTGCTGTCAACTCAGTCATCAGCCCATGCAGTATGGGACCAGGGGCTGCTATACCCCCTCTACTCTCATTTGCGTTGAATAAACACTTAAGTCGTGCTTACTATATACCAAGCACTGTTCTACACTCTTTACAAATATTAACTCAATTCATCTCCCAGGCTCTGTCAGCCCACATGCCCCAGCACCCCCCTACCTGGCTGGTTTTCAGCTTCTCTTCCTTCCTCTCTTCTCTTGCGGGCTCTCTGTCCTGCCAACAGCGGGCTGCGGCCTCAGCACCATTGGCCGTCGGGGAGTCATCTCCCCGCCAGGACCTCACCTCCTGCAGGAGTGAAGAGAGCATGAGCAGCCCAGGCTGGCCTTGAGGCGACCTGAGCTGCAGTCAAGAAGAGTGCAAGGTGGGAGGCGGCCGAGAGGTTAGGTGCAGCAGGACCACCAGGGAAGCAGGAGGAGCCTGTTAGTGCCCGGGTAAGCACCTCCACCAGCACCAGCACCAGCACCAGCACCAGTCCAGGAGGCTCGGCCCACTACCTTCTCATGCTCCTGCTGGCTCAGGCGCAGAGCCAGCTGCAGCTGCAGGTCCTCATCCCTGTGGGAGGCTGGGGGGACTGGCTGCGGGGGAGGAAGAGAGGGGTGAACTTGGCCCAGCATGCCCACCTGTGCACTGAAGGGCAACATAGCCCTGTGCAGTGAGGAGGATGGAGAGAACGCCCACCCTGAGTGGGTGAGGGCAGCCTGTCCTCAGAGAGCAATGTGGGTGCTGCTTCTCCCTGCCTGGATCTGAGATGCAGCTTAAAAATCAACAAGATTGATCCTTTTCCTCTGAGTCCCCTGAGTGCTCCCCAAGCCCTGCTGTGTGAGGCCCCGCTGCTTCTTGTCCGGTCTGCCTGGATCCATGGAGGTGAGGGCAGAGAGGATGATATCAAGAGGGCTATCGCTGCTCCCCAAAAGGACAGCTCATGGGGGGCAGCATATCTCTCTGTCTCCTGTGCCTGTTGGCACTTGTCCCCTTTGCCTCCATTAAGTGGCAGCAGCCCCACTGGACCCATGTGTACCCCTGACCCACTACACACTCACTGCCCTTTCTAGGCCGGCCAGAGAGGACAGGAGGCGGGGAGGCAGCCCCTGCGGGACAATCCCAGGGCCCTGTGCTTTCCTTGGGAGCAGGCCTAGGGCTTTGGGGCCCAGAGTAGGGAAGCCTGTTGGGTATTCGGCAACTCTCCTTCCTTTTTCAGTCTTCCAGTCCCCTCCCCATGCCACCCCAGCCGGTGGGACCTCCAGGGGCTGCCCTCACCTTCTCGGCCTCCTCACGGCTCATGGCCAGGGCCAGCTGCAGCTGCAGCTCCTCTTCTCCTGACGTCTGGGGCCGGGCCTGCTCCAGGTCGGAGGTGTAGCGGGGGGATGAGGAGGAGGCTGCAGAGGACCAACATGGCCATAATCACACAGGTGCCCACAGGCTCCCTCCCACCCTGCCAGGAAGCCAAGGAAACTGAGGGGGAAGGGACAACCGGCAGTCACGGGCTCCTGGGGCCAGGCAGTGTGTGCCTGCATTCTCTGTAAGGTTTCCCATTCCACCCAGGAGAGATTCCAACTCCTCCTTTACAGATGTGCAAACAGCTCCAGGGGTGCCTGGCCAGGCTCCTGCAGCAAGACTTGAACCCAGGTCCCCCTACTCCAGCTCCTGGACTCTTCTAGCTGGGTGCCGTCCAGCCTGGGGTCAAGTAGGGGTGAGAGGGTCAGAAGCTCCATTCAGTCAAGGTCACAGCCCTCTAAGCCCTCAGCGTACTGTCAAGAGCTTCATGAAAGGAGGGCCATTCTGAGTATTCCTTAGATCAGGGAAGCCCCCACCGCTGCAGGGGCGGGATGGGGGTGGAGTCAGGAACTGCTCTGCAGCCGCTCCTGTTTTCAAGGGCAGTGCCCTCAAACGGGGGGATTAAGAGAATGCCATGTGCTGTGTGTCCAGGCACAGGGCCGAGGGCATTGCTGGGCCTGGTCTCATTTAATTCTCACATATAACAAATGAAGTAGGTAAGATTATCCCCACTTTACAGATGAGGAAACTGAGGTTCGGAGAGGTGGTTGTCCAGATCACTCAGCTTGGAAGGAGCAGAATAAGGAATGCTGCTGGACTCCAGAGTCTATGCTTCTACCACCAACCGTCCGGCCGGACAGCGAATTAACGATAATAACAGCTATATGATAACATTACTGTGTATGCCGACTTGTTAGGCACCTACTATGTGCCCACATTGTGACTTGCACGGCACATTCCTTATCTCCCTGAATCGTCACGACATTCCCCAGAAGGAGGTGTTATTGTCCGTGGCTCAGACATGGCTCAGAATTGGAACTCAGGCCGCCTCCCTGTCCCCAGCCACACCCCCGAGGCCCACTCACAGTTGTAGGAGGAAGGGGAACTGCGTGAGCGGCCGTAGTCATCGCCATGGCGGCGGCTGAAGCCCAGCTGCCCGCTGCCGATGCCCGTGCCCTCCAGCGCCATGCGCTCCTTGGTCTTGAGGGCGTGGGTCCGCTCCTGCCGCAGGCGCTCCTCGTCCTTGAGCAGAGCCATCACCTGCTTGACCTTCTCACGCACGTTGACGCCCTGGTCCTTGCCGTCGCGGTCGATGTACTGGAAGTCCTTGAGTGTCTGGATGGTGTAGAGGTTCTCGCGGCACTGGTGGGCCACCCGCTCGGAGCCCGTCTTGAGCAGGTAGTCCAGCAGCGTCAGCGCCTTGTACACGTGCCGCCAGTTCTTGCCGCTGTCATTGAGCCGCCGCCACAGCATGCCCATGACCTCGGCGAAGGCCACTGTGTTGAAAGTCAGGTCAGCAATCTCCGACATGAGCGAGCTGGGCGGGCCCCACGGGTCATTGCTGGTGGCCTCGCGGACCTTGACCTCTGCCTCAGAGTAGTTGTGCACGATGTTCTTTACCTGGCGCCGCAGTGCTGAGGTCGTCATGGCTGGGGACTTGGAGATGGGCGGCCCCCGCCCCAGCCGGAGGTGGAGGGCCGAGGGCCACCGTTGTGAGATCACAGTCTGCAAGGATGGGCCGCGGTGCTCTCAGCAGGGCAACTGTGTCTCTGGGTTCCACATGGGTCTGAGGAAGAGAGGGTCAGGAAGTCAGAGGCAGTGGCCCACCTCTCTGGCCACTCAGCCCCCAACCTAAGGCCTAGCCAGGGTGTCCCCACTGCCAGGAATAGCCTTCAGCAGGCTCTTTTTATTTTTCTTGTTATTCAGCAGGTTCTTCAAGCTTTGCCTGCTCGTTTATCTTCACAATCACACGACAAAGATGCTATTATTTTTATCTCCATCCACAGATGGGGAAAGTGAGGTCCAGGGAAGGATTAAATGACTTGTCCAAGATCACAGAGCCGGCATGTGGGGAGCCAGGATTAACCTAGGCAGAGGCACCCCACAGTCCTTGCCCTTAGTGAGGGACGTGAAGGTGACCCCAGGAATGCCTGCTCGCCTCACTTCTTCTTGGCTACCTCTCCCGTTTCTGCCAGGATCTTGCTTAAGACCTATCCTTTCCAAAACTTCTCAGTGCTCACTTACCTCCCTTCTCACATTGTTAATTTTTGTAGCTTAATTCATTCAACACCTATTTCCTGGGGCCCTCTCTGAGCCAGGCACTATGCCAGGCACAGAGCAGAAGTCCTGGTCCACCCACGTTTAGTTGAGAGGGTACGGACAATCACAGTCCAGTGTGGGAGTGCAGAGGAGCACAGGGGTACCCAAGCTAGGAAAATCAGGGCAGGCTTCCCAGAGGAGGTGATGGCTGAGCTGAGGCTGAGATCCAAAGGGAAGGGTGAGGAGGAGGAGTGAGGCAGCAAGGAGGGGAAGGGCAGCTGAAAGGGGATACTGTGAGCTGGGCCAGAAGGCAAGAGAGGAAGGAGCATATGGGGGAAGCTGCGCCTCAGAGAGTTCTAGCCACCACCACCCAAGTTATACACACAAGAACACTGAAGCCAGAGAGGGCACATGGCCTGCCCACAGTCACACAGCATGTAGGTGGCACAGCTGGGACTAACACCTAGGTCTCCAGGAGACTAATCTAAAAGTTATTGTCAGTGTCACCAGTTTTGCAATTAATTCATCTGATTGCTTTATTGTCTTAGTCCTACCTTCTCAGCCAGAACGTGAGCTCCCTGAGGGCAAGGCCAGTCTGGGCTCCCCAAACTCCTGGCCCTGGCACATGGTAGACCTCTGACACCCCAGCTGAGGGAGGCTTGGGCCAGCCCACTGCCTCCCTACAGCCTCAGGACCCGGCCACCTGCTGAAAGTAAACCCAGGCCCATGACAGAGAAAGGGTCTCCAGGGCTCTACCAGAAACCCAAACCAGAATCCCCCTGCCACGGCTGTTCCTCTGGCATGGGCACACGCTGGCATGGACGTACACTGGCATGGGCACACATGCACACTGACTGGACCTGCAGAGCCTCCACTTCAACCACCAGCCCGCCGTGGAGATGGTGCCTCTCAGCTCTGCCCTGAGACTCAGCAGGAGAAGGAGCCTGTCCTGCCCCACCCCCCATCTCAACTCTCCCTCCACCCAGCCCTCCCAGCCTTGGGCTCAGTTCAAAGTGGCCCCGAAGGCCTTGGCAGGTTTCATCAGGGCCCGGGGGGCTGGGGAGAGCTTTGCCCAGAGGATGGGATCCCGAGGGAGACCAGGTGGTGTGGAGAGCGCCCATTGAAAGTGCTGCCTACCTTCTGTCTGCTGTCTCTCTGTCCGTGTCCGTCCAGCCGGCTGGTGACAGGCCTTCTGTGGGCATGCCCCCCCGCAGCCAGCACTCCTATAACTCCTGCCCTCCCCCTCAGTAGTGACTCAGACCTGCTTTACCTTCCCGACTGGTAGCGGGTGGCAAGTCAAGATGAGAAATAATTCTGCCCTAAAGCCCGCCCCGAGTGTATGCTCCTCCCAGTGCTGGCCGCAGAAACCAGCAGAACCAGTCAGGCATCAGGACTCCACCAGCAGCCCTACCTGGGCCGGCTCCCTGGCCCTCCTGCGTGGCCTGGGGTGGTGGGAGGGGGCCCTCCGTATGGGCCCTGCGGCCCTGCCTGGACTTTCCTCCTAGAAGCTGGGCTCGGAGGAGACTTCCCTGCACACCTCTCCCGGGGCTGGGGGAAGGAAGGGGTCAGAAACACCAAGGAGGTGCCTCCACCTCCCTGCCCTGAAGTTTGAGGGGCCAGGTGAGGAGGAAGAGGGACCCGGTGAGGCCAAGGGAGCACCGAGGGGAGAGAGAAGGAAAGGAAGGAACGCGGGAGGGAGTGGCTGGGAGCGCTGCCAGCGGTGTTAAAGCAAAGGGTTTTATCGAACACAATATGCCCAGAAATAAAAGGGAGTGAAACAGAAACCCAGCCGCCGATAAGGCAGCGGTGGTGGTGGCGGCAGTGGCAGCAGCAGCAGCAGCCCGGGCGGCCGGGTATGGAATTACTGCAGTGACCTTGAGCCAGACCCTGTCAGGTGGAGGGAAGGACACTGAGAAGGCAGGGCCCAGAGGCCAATTCAGAGACAGGGGGAGGGTGGGGAGGCAGGAGGGCAGTGCAGGGCAGAGGAGGGAGGAGTAAGCTGGGGCGATGGGAGGAGGGCCAGCCGCCAATGGGACGGCCATGGGGGGCCGGAGTCTCAGTCTCTCCTAGATATAGGATCCCGGACAAAACTGTACAGTGGGGAGGGGGCTGCTCTTCTCAGGGCCCACAGGACGGGGGACGGTCAGGACTAAGGAAGCAGATCGCATCCCTAGAGTGGGGGTCCGGGGAGATGGAAAGAACCCAGATCTGTCGAGTCACGTGCATGAGTTCGTCCAAAGTCTGTGTGTGCCCCCACAGCGCGCACCCCTCTCATCCTCTGCCCCCACATGAGGTCCAGCAGGAGCAGTGGGGGGAGTGGCAGTATCCTACCTCCTGTGGGTGGAGGGACATGCGGGAGCTCTGGCTGAGCTGAAGTAAGCCCTCAGGTAGCTGTGTCCTGCAGGGCACTGGAGTTGGGTAGGGGCTGCCCTGAGGCTAGAGGGGCAACAGGGCCTGAGGAGGAGGAGTGGGCAGAGAGGAGCAGGAGTCTGTGGGGAATGCCACCAAGGATGTTAGTCCCCGGATGGGGAGCGAGCCCCCGAGTCCCTCTTCCTGAGTGCTGCAGGCAGGAAGCCTCTAGGATCCTGGATGTCCCTGCCCTGCTCGCCCCTCTCCCTGAGACCTGGGTGGGAGACAAGCCGCAACCTTCCATGCCTTCCATGCCGGGCACCACCGTGGATGGGAGGGGCCAGCTTACCTCCGGTGCAGGCTCCCTTGGCCCCAGCCCCGGGACCCTGAGCAGCCTCTGCAGTGACCCTCCGACCTGCGCGGCAGGAGGACGGCACAGACTTGGGGGCGTCCCAAGAGCCATCCACCACGAACCCTCGTCCTGGAGACCCGCCCTCTCCTGTGAGGCGCAAACACCCTCGGAAGGGCGGCCGCGGGGTCCCAGAACAGGCTGCAGCTCTTCCTCTGGCCGGCCTGCCTTCTCGGCAGGCAGCACTCAGCACTCGCAGGAAAGTTGCTCAGCTGGCCGGGCAGGTCTGCCTCAGCAGTAACAGGACACAGGAGGACGCGCAGGGCATGTTAACCCCTTCCTGCTGGCTGGGCAGCCGGTGGCACCTTCAGAGGTGGGAAACCTGCCTGCTGCCAGTTCCCAGAAGATGCAGATCCCAAAGGAGCCTGTGCCGGCGGCCCACTCCCACGCTGCAGGGAGTTAACCCTTCCCCTGCCTCCTCAACAGGAAACGGGGCCAGGGGGGCTCCAACACCCATCTCACCCCACCCCCTCCCCTCTGGGCCAGGAGTACCATTCCCTGGGGCTGGCCCTTTGATGGAGTTACTGCCTTCTGTGGGCTTCCAGCTGGCCCCCTCAGCCATCCTGGTGAGGGCATCGGGACTCCAGGCACAGCCCCCTGACATGAGGACTGAGTGCCCCACTCACTCAAATCTCCTCCCACGTCTCAACTGAGGGATGCTGAAGGCCCAGGAGGTCCTTATCAGAAGCATCAAAAGCAGAACTAAGTGGGAGGGAGGCTGTGGCCACTCCCCCGTCTCCCATCCACACCTCTGCTGCATCGAGACTAAGGCAATAAGCTCACCATTGGCAAAGTTGTTCTTCAAACTCTGGGAGTCTTGAGCCCACTCTACACAGGAAGCCTGGCCCAGAATGATGATTACTGACAGAACAATTATGGTACTGAGTTTGAGCTGACAGCGCCTTTCTTTCCAAGAGCTGTCTCTTACCTGCTTCGCATTTCTCTGAGCAGGGAGAGACTATAAAGTCCAGAGGCTCTTTTTAAGGCAGAAAAATGGTTCAAGGAGGCCTGATGGTTTGACATGAGGAGAGGAACGAGACAGACTAAAATCCAGAATAATGACCTCTGGCCAAGGGCAAAGGGATCAGGCCTCTAGGGTTTAGGAGTATGGTGAGCTTGACCCTCAGGGACTAGGACAGGGCCCTTGGAGCCAGCCCAAGTGGGAGGCTCTCAGGGAGCCAGTCCCATGGGATCTAGTTCTCCTAGTCTTACACTTTGTCATACTTGGTGATGACACTTGGGGAAAACCTGCCTCCAGGAAGCATGATCCCGAAAGTGTGGGCCAAGGAAGGTCAGAGGCAGGGACCACAAGGGGTGACGCTGTCTGTCCCGTCACCTGATTCATACCTTGTCCTGCTACCAACTTGCTCTTCCAATCATCATCCCACACATCACCTCCCAGCTGTGTTTCTCTCTCCTCCTGTTAGATGGCTCCAGGAACTGGGAGGAGAGGAAGCTGAGGGCAGGTGGGACACGCGAGGACCTCATCAAGATTTGACATTCAAGACATGGAGGCATAACGGAAGTGGTAGGAAGATAAAAGTTCTTTATTGATTTGTTTGTTAACCAGTTTCACAGAAGGCCGCTCGGGCACACGGGTCAGGGTCACAGAGGAAAAGCTCCCCGACATTCTTCATGGGGCTGAGCTCGTCAGCCAGGATCATCAGGTCGGTCACCAGGGTGTCCAGCAGCCCGTAGACCTGGAAGAATGGGACAGACGTCATGGGCAAAGGTTCGCTCTGTGGAAAGCACTCACACAAGGGAACATTCACCAGGCTACGAGGGTGGACATGTCTACACCACGGAGAGAACAGCTGGCGAGCAGAGAAACCAAAGTTGTGAGTTTCTGTAGAACTTGCATTTTTGCAAATAGTCTTATTTTTTGAACCAGTCTCGGGAGGTAATCTCCACTGGCCCCTTGGACATGTGGGGACGTTAGAGCCTAGCGTGGTTAAAGGGGCAATTCCAGGGACACCAGGGAGCATTTAGCCCCTTGGGCGGCCCAGTTCTCCCCTGGCCTCCTGGAGGCCAGCTTTCCTTCCTGTGAGATCACAGGTCCACGGATGCAACACCTTCAGGACTGTGCCCCTCCAGTGGGGCTGGAACACACAAGCCTCGGCAAGTTGATTCCTAATGACAAAGAGCCAAGGAAGAGTCTGCCCCGTGGGTCCTCAGGGCCCTGTGATCACTTTCTAGGCTCCAACGACCTTCAGAAATCTCAGTGATGTCACCAGCAGCAAATGGAGCTTCTGATCAGATGAGACCCAGAGTGTCACCACAATGCATGATGCAACCCCAGCGACCCAGCGGTCCACACCAGAGGAAGACAAAGCACTGCCAGGAGACACACTGATGTATCGAGCATGGCTTTGTGGACCTCCCCTCCAAAACAAACAACAACAAAACACCCCTGGGTGAATCTCCAAGGACCTACTGCTTAAGAATATATCCTTATGCAGTCTCTCCGGTATTTCAAAACCCTTACGCTTGCTGGAAGTTCAGTCTACACAGTGTTCCCCCAGGGAGGGCATCTGCCAAGACACACCCAATGCAGAGAGGCAGTGGGAGCAGCAGAAAGGCAAGGACTTAAGCGTAAGCCAGGTCATATCACTCCTCCATTCAAAACCCTGTGTGACTTCTCATTTCATTCAGAAAAACCCCAAGTCCTCACAATGGCCTACAGAGCCCCACAAGACCTGCTCCCTCTCAGAGGCCTCTCTGCCCTCTTGTCCTAGCCCACTCCCTCCCCTCATTAGCTGCTCCCTCTGCCTAGGGCATCCTTCCTCAGACGTCCACAGGGCCACCCCTCACCTCCCCTCAAATCTTTGTCTGACGTCACCTTCTCGAGGCCCACTTGCCCCGGCTCGGGCCTTCCCATTCCCCGGGCCCAGTCTCTCTCGTTTCCATAGTGCTCATCGCCTAACATACTAGATGCGTTACTTATGCATGAGGTCCATCTCGCACACGAGGATGCCCTTCACAAGGGCCGCTCTGCTTCCATCATGGATGTGGTAGGCTCTTATCACTTGTGGAATAAACGGGCTGAAGGAGGGAGTGGAGGAAGGTGCGCAGGGCAGTGGGAGCGAGGGGAAGGCTGAGCGCTGGGCTCCTGCCCTCACCTCGGTGTGCAGCCTCTGGGTGTATTTCTCCATGACCAGGGGATCGATGGGCTCATGAGAATGGGTGGTGCTGTCAGGGGCAGGGTCTTCCAAGGAAAACCTGTCCCGACTTAAAGATTTTATCGGTTTCTTGTCATCCTTTGCCTTGTGCTTCTTGCTGTTTAACCGGTCCTGCTTGGAGAGATGGAGACACGCACAGTCTTCGACAGCTCCTGAGGGAAGTCCGGGACTTCCTCAAGAGCAGCGCACGGGAGAGCCAGGGCAGCACGCTGGAGTGACCGCCCACCTTCCACAGCCCCCCGATGCCCTCCCCAGCCCGCCCCAGGCCCAGACCATGCCTCTTTCCCCAGCAGCTTGGCTCCTTTTTTATCCTCTTTGTCTTTGATTCCCAACTGCTTCTTTTCCTGGGCTGCTGCTTTCCGGTCCTCCTTCCCAACTCTCCCGGCAGTCACCTTCACCTCCATGACAGGAGGCGATTTCCAATCTAAGGAAGGTGAATGGAAGACATCGTGGCCTGTGGCCCAGCTGACCGCACCAGCAGGAGTCGGGACAGCAAAGGGTCTTGAGCTGTCAGTGCTCCCAGCAGCTTTGAGAGAATTCCCACAGCCTGAGAGTAAAGCCCCTGGCTCAGCCGCATGGCCTTGTGGAACAGGACTGTGGGACAGGGGCGGGAGGCCTGGGTCCTAGTCCCAGCTCTGCACTCCCCCACGTATGGCATGGACAGGTCATTTAACTTCTCTGGGACTCCATCTGTAAAACAAGGGAACTGAACTAAGGTGATCGCTAAGGTTGATTCTGGATCCCAAATCCTGGCAGCAGATAAAAGAGTGGCAGGGGCCTTCTCCATGGATCAACCTAATGGAGGTTCCACCACAGGGGTAGAAATGGCTGAGGCGCCACTGCTGTCTGGGCAGAGGGATAGTGAAGACTCCGCGGAAATGTGGCTGCACAATGTCTGACCTTGCTCATCTGGTACGTCCAAATAGGTGGTCTCCTTCTCAGGCAGGCCCAGCAGAGCCCTCAGCCACAGGGAATGGCTCACCAGGCTGTCAATCACATCCCGCCACAGCTGCAAACTGGAGGGCAAGACACAGTGGAGAGCAGCCGTCACCCCTCACTTGCCTTTGAACCTGCAGGGGCTTGGGTCCTTCCCTTCCGAGATGCTAGTGCCATGAACTGCCCTGGGAACACCATGGCCCCGTCCAGCCAGCATCCTCCCCGGCACCTGTGCAAGCATTCAGATGGGGATCTGGCTTCTCTCAGGCGCAGCCAAGAAAAAGTGGCCAGGGACCAGGGTCGGGTCAGTCTAACTGCTAGCTTGAAACCACAGCTAGACTTGAGTCCAGCCTCACTGCAGGGGCCGGACCTTGCCCAAGATTTCTAGCATGAGGCTCCCAGGGATGTGTTCTGAGGGCCTTGCTGAAGGTCCCCAAGCCTCTCCAGGCAAGTTCCAAACAGGCGATGGGAAGGCTGACAACCGAGAAGTGAGGCTTTCCATGGAATATGCCCCACTTCTCACTGCCCTCTGGTTTCTCCTCTTTTCATTCCTCTGCTCATTGGGAAGGAAAAAGGAAAGAGGAAACATTTTTAAACAGACTAGGTGCTTACTGTGCTGTGACTGCTCCCCTGACAGCAGTAGGGGCTGTGGTGGGTGCCAGGGCATGGACTGTCTGCAGCGTCCTTCAGCAACCTGAGCATAAGGGGAGTCCTGGGACTGCCTGCCCTGATGCTACACAGGGGAGGAGATGGGGCTGGTCTCCTGGGGGGGCACCTACCACATCTGGTACAGGAAGTCAGACTGCAGTGGCCTCTGTTCCTGGCACAGCTCCAGGGCTGCTTTGTTGAGCCCGATTAGGGCATCTTCTCTCTGGTTCTCCTCAGGGAGTGCCATCACCACCTGGCCACAGGATCACAGGGACCATGGGCAACCATTCTGCCCAGGACACCAAGGGTCCCTGTGTCCTCTAGTGACGAGCCTGGTGCAGTGAGAACATGTGGCAAGGAGGGGACACAGCCATGGAGAGTCTGTCTGGGGTGCCTTCTGTGGGAACCTGAGACCTCCCTCAGAAGTTGGTACCCACGAACTCCTTCTCCAAGGAATGCCAGGCTGAGAGAGGGAGCCCCTGCTGCACAGTGAGCTAGGTCCCCGAGACGAAAAGAGATGAACCAAAAGGTGGCCTTCTCCAGGCCCTGAGGTTTCGCTTTTTTGCCTCTGAGGAGGAGTGGGCTCTGCTGGGGCCCTCCCTTGGTTCAGGACAAGAGCACCAGCACCCGGCTGAGCCAGGGCCATTCTCCATCAACCCCTTCAAGGCTCGGGAAGGCACCTTTCTGAAGTCCTCCAAGCAGAGGTTCCACTCAGCTCGGGGAAAGCCATCCAGCTCCCACGGGCTCTTGGCGCTCTCCAGGTCTGGACTTCCCTCTACCAGGAGCTCCTCCATGATGCTCTTCCGTGGAAAATTCCTGGCCTCCAGTCCGGTCTTCTGGGACCTGAAAAAATCTCGGGAGTCCTCCTGCCAGGGCTGTTGGGATTCCAAGACTGGGATCTTAAAGTTCACTGAAGACTCGACGTTCAGTGAGGGCTTCTCCAAATAGGCTGACTGGGCCATGGCAGCCCGGGCCTTGGGGCTGAGGTGCTCCTCGCTCCTGGCCTCCTTGGCCTTGGAAGGCGAGATCATGTACTGGCGCCACAGCTGGTGCAGGTTTTGTACCACTTGGTGCTGGTAGTGCAGCTGCAGCAGAGGCAAGGGAAGACATGTGATGTGGCGGCCGGAGTGTGGGGTACCCAGAGCCCGAGCAGCCCTGCTCTGGTTTCCCATTCCCTCCAGGGCACACTGATGGGGGAGGCAGGGAGGAAGGCATCAGGAGTGGCTGTGGCCAGAGGGGCTTCCCACTTCTCCTTCAACCTGAGCATCTCCAACTTAAAGCTTTTTTACATTTGGGCTTCCAAGTAAGACAAGGTTTGAATGAAGGAGCGTGTCAAGCTCTGTTCTCTCAAGCATCCACTTACTAGCTAAGTGATCTTGGGCCCTATCTTCACCTCTCTGGGCCTGTTTCCTCCATGTGAAATGAAGATACAAATAACACCCATCTCACAGGCCTGCTGTGAGGGGAAAGTGAATTACTCATGGAAGATGTTCAGAACGGGTCCTGGCGCATTTCAGGTTTGCTACTGCTTTCACCCATGGCACACAGGAGGGACGGGGGCCGGCGCTGGGCCTGTACCCGAGGATTCCTATGGGAGAACAAGTCCTCCTCAGTGAGATAGGTGTCCACAGGTGACTGCACACGCTCCGGGGTCTGGATCCCCCTCAGCAGCTCCTGCAACACGCTCTCCACGATGGTGACTGCTTCATGGGC